CACAGACGTTCGTCGGGATGAGCCGCTGGGCCCGAGCCCCCAACACCAGACGTTCGTCCATCCTCAAGGGGCATGGGCCTGTGGGCTGGCCTGGTGCTCTAACTGGACGTGCGTCTGGCAATATGGGTTAGTGGGCCGGACCTCGGCTTGGGCCCTTAACCCAACAATTATAATGATAATTATTAACAATAATAGTAAAAACATTAACAAATGATATAGGAACACAAACGAATCCTTTTTCAGATGAAGAGCGAATTTGCAATAGTTTAGGAGCTTACTTTTGTGACTTTTTGGATAAATGTTGTTAGTAAACTTCACACTATTATGTTTGGACCATATCTCTGAATACTTAAATGCTTAAAAAATTGCTGAAATTAAATAAATTAATAAAATATCTAGAAAGTAGTCTATTTTACATTATTTAGAAACCGATGCATTTGATAATATATTGATATAGGAACTAGCTATAACTGTCTTGTTTTGACTACGAACCTCCCTTCAAGATAGCATCTTTAAGGGCTCCGCCACCTGAATCCCTCCAACTCTTTCACCATGATATGTAGCTACTTATCCATTGTCACGTTAATGAGACCCTTGATGCCTCATAGTTTGGCGAGTGACAAGAGAATCTGAAAAATCCTAGATAACCTAATATAAAAATAAAATCAAACTCATTTAATTTTAGATGCAAAAACTGTTCACAAACTTTCATTCCTAGAAATATTAAATACTTTTATAGTGTTCGGTACATGTTTGTGGTTTACATGATCCGATATTCGTAATTTAATACCACATGAGTTCATGAACCATTCGTCCATAATGCAAGTAATTGTAGTTATATAGAGATTACGTAACTTACTTCCACCATAAGATTCTAATCATCTGTAGGTTGTGCTTCCTGATGTATGCTCACAGTTGCTTCACGATCTGGTTTGAAAAAGAAGGACGAATTAGTACTTATAACTCTAATCAATGTTTACCTTCAAATGAGGACCTAACCTCGGTTCTAGGGAGTGTCAATTGGCCAACAACATCCTCAGGTTTTGGTATTACACTGCAGACTTTGTTCAACCCACCATATCTTGTCCTCCGTAATTTTTTACTATGACATTGTCATTAGTTTGCTTTCAATAAGGGAATTATATGTGAGATACAAATTCTAAAATCTAAACAAGATGATGTTATAATGTTCTTGGCAATATATTCTCAAACTTTGAGGAGCTGAGTGATCACAATTTAATAATATGAATTTCACAACTCTTAGATCTATATGTCAAAATGATCTAGAACAACACTACCTAAGGCCTCAAGGTGACCACATTAAGTATAATTTGAGGATGCCACCACTTGGCCGGAGTACAAAGGCTCTCCACGGATGCTGGCAGAGATCGACGAAGCCCGTAGTGATTGAATTTATTTTAAAATTTCTTTTATCGAAATGAAATTGAACGAGTAATGTGTTATGATCATATTTCAGTATTTGAAATATGGTTCCTTTTTTTATTACATAAAACAAGTTTTTTTTTTATTTCCATTGGAGAAAATCTTCTAGGAAGATATGTGTTTTTTCAAACTTTATCAATTTAGATATAACTAGGGGTGCAAACGAGTTGAGCCTAGCTCGAATATGGGTATGTTTGAGCTTGAGCTTTATAAGAGTGCACATGCTCGAGCTTGAACTAGCTTAAATAATATTAGCTCAAACTCGAGCCGAGCTCGTTTCGAACTCGAGCAGAGCTCGCTTTGAACTTGAGACGAGTTTTGCTAATTAATATTTATAGGTTTGAAATCAAATAAGATGCTTGATCTTGAGCTTGAATTCGAGCTAAGATAAATTATATTTTCAAAATTATTAATATTACATATATTCATACAAATAAATAAATAAAATCTAGTATTTGTACTTTGTTGTTCTTATTTTTGAGTTCCTCTCAGCTTCAATGACATTTTACTCTCAATTAAATTTTAAAAGATATAATAATATATAAGTGACAAGAAAGAAAGAAAGAAATAAATATAAGGCATGTGTACATAATATCATACGGAGTATTTATTTATTTATTTATTTATTTTTATTTATTTATTTATTTATTTATTTATTTATTTATTTATTTATTTATTTATTTTTTTATTTATTTTTTTAATTTATTTATTTATTTATTTATTTTTTATTTATTTATTTATTTATTTATTTATTTATTTATTTATTTATTTATTTATTTATTTATTTATTTATTTATTTATTTATTTATTTATTTATTTATTTATTTATTTATTTATTTTTTTAATTTATTTATTTATTTATTTATTATTTATTTATTTATTTATTTATTTATTTATTTATTTATTTATTTATTTATTTATTTATTTATTTATTTATTTATTTATTTATTTATTTATTTATTTATTTATTTATTTATTTATTTATTTATTTATTTATTTATTTATTTATTTATTTATTTATTTATTTATTTATTTATTTATTTATTTATTTATTTATTTATTTATTTATTTATTTATTTATTTATTTATTTATTTATTTATTTATTTATTTATTTATTTATTTATTTATTTATTTATTTATTTATTTATTTATTTATTTATTTATTTATTTATTTATTTATTTATTTATTTATTTATTTATTTATTTATTTATTTATTTATTCATTCATTCATTCACTCACTCACTCACTCACTCACTCACTCATTCATTCATTCATTTATTTATTTATTTATTTATTTATTTATTTATTTATTTATTTATTTATTTATTTATTTATTTATTTATTTATTTATTTATTTATTTATTTATTTATTTATTTATTTGTTCATATATAAATATATTACGATTTCCGAGCTCACGAGCAATTTCGACTCAAGAAATTGAGCTCAAGCCTGACTCGTTTGCTTAACGAGACGCCTCAAGTTCGGCTCACATGAGGGCCATCTACGGTCATTGTGAGGCCCTAGACGAATATAGACATTTCGTTGAATATGTTTCATTAAGCATAATTATTCAAACACGGTATTCATACTCTTGTTGTCAACAATATTGGAGGGAGAAGATATTGTGCTTACGTACCCACCTATAGCGCAACAAGTTGGTTTTAATCAAGTCCTTTTCTTAATTTGTTCTTTCTATTTGTACATCATTATTGATGTTTTCATCTTACCATAATAAAGAAACTACAATTTTATTCAAAATAATAATAAAGAAATGGTTCATAAAGACAAGTTTAATGGACATATAAAAGATTTTAAGCAGGGACGGATCTATAGGTAAACCAAGGGGGGAAATTGCCCCTCCCAACTTTTTATTTTTTTACTAGTAGTATTAGTTACGTATACGTAGTACTTGGTATTTTATTTTTTGTCCACCCACCAAACATTTTATTTATGATTGTGTGATGTGCAATTGAACGGTTCACGGTTGGCTTGAAGCTCTATTAAAATCATTGAAATTTAAAGTTCAACCCAAGAATAAATAAAAACAATAAGTATGAATACTTGTGAATTGTTGCCTATCCCGCCCATTTGTGTTGCCGGCTTAGAATAACAGAAGGCGTGGGCGAAAGTAGCAATGAGCTCAAGTCTGGAGCATTTTCCATGGATTGAGCATGACAAATATCAATTCTTATTCAACGCTTAAGAGCATTTTGACTTTTATAATCTATTAATGTAAAAATATTAACCCTTACTAATTATTTAAGAATCAAAGTAATTTAAGTATTCTGACTTTTTCATCTATTAGATTTAATTTTTAGATATGTGATTGTTTTTTCTAAATCATATTTTAGAGTCCGGGTATTGAACCGGTAGAGCACTAGCTTTCACGACATGCAAGCACCATTTCTAAATTTTAATAGGCATGACGTTTACTCATGTATTTTTGGAGGTTTTAATTAGTACATTTTTCAACTTTGCCAGCAAGTATAAATGTATAATTGCTACAGTTGATACTACATAGTTATTTAATGTTTATTCATGTGTATTTTATATGTTATTATTTAATTTTTTTAATTTCACCCGCCCCCTCTTGATCACATCCTGGCTCCGTCTCTGGTTTTAAGTATTCAATATTTCAATGAATCACAAAGATTTCAATTGTTCAATATTTCAATGAATCAGAATCACAAATCACAAGTTCATTATATAAAGAATTCCAAATTATAAGTATTGATGTATTAATTAATTTATTGTAATATTAAAAAAACACTAGGCCCTAGTGCTCAGTACTGTAATCGACTAACAATGAAAAAATAAAAACAAATACTAAAAGATGAGAAAAGTATGGAAAAAGTACTTGTGGTTGGACCCCCTTTTAGATATGGTCATGTGTTTCATTTTTTTTTAATAAAGTCGGGCATGCGTTTAAATTTTGTTATCATAGGAGGGTCCTGACGTCTAACGCCGTTAAAAACGTTGAATGAAGACGATGAACAATAACCCCGATTTTCAAAACTGCCCGAAAAGTAAAAGAAAAATAATGGGAGTTGCACCTCATCAAACCGACCTATCGACCTCCAAACGATCTTCATCTTCGAATTTTTCGGATTTGTTTGGATTCTTTTTAAAAATGAATTTGCTAATATCACTTTTCAGATGAGTTTTCCGGTGACAAAGTGGCCAGAAACAAAAAAGAAAGATGACATAGAGGTTGTCTTGTTGATGCGCACCTCCCAATAGTTTCTTTTTAATTTTCCGGGCACTTTGAAAAATTGTAGTTATTGCTCATCATCTTCATCCAACGATTTCTAACGACATTAGAGGTGAGGACCCCATGCGATAACGTAATTTAAACACATGATCATTTTGTTAAAAAATGAAACACATGAATAATCTAATCACATGTACATTTTCTCTACTTTTTTATGTAAATAATACGGAGTAATAAAATAAGTAACCCGAAATAAAGTCATCAATTAATGAAATTGTTAAAAGACCTCGATTTTACAAAGGGGGTGATGAGTGATATATTCTTGTAACTGGATTGGAGTACAATTTTACGTAGAGAGAAACGATGTGGAGGTCATCAATGATCAAACGGTCACAAGAGCGAGAAGTAGGGAATTTCTCTCACCTCTTCTCTCTGAATATATGTGAGGCTTAGCCCCTTTTATCTGGCTTTCTTTCCAACTTCGCGTGTATTTCCCGAACCCCAGACATCGAAGAAAGCACAAGAATCGAACCACTTCTTCTAACCCCTCTTCCCTCCCATCTACCAAGAGAAACCAGGAGTGATTAATCGAGTGTGATAAACCCAAGCAACCCGATTGATTGCTCCCATTGTTTCTGAAATCGTATATGTTGTATTTAGTCTGAACGCTCTTAACTGAGATCTTGTCCTTCCTACAATGTTCTTCGCCTTGTAGCGGACAAGGTATATAAAATCAATGCAAATCAAATTTTTCGTTTCAGTTTCAGCTAAGTTTCATGACCATGTATATCTCCGGATTTAATTGTTTTTTCTTTTTGAGTAAAAATTGAGTTTTTTTTTTCCGGAAAAGTGTTGAAGCTTCACTTTGATTCCTTTACTCTTTACTCTCTCATTATTTTGCAAATTAGGGTTTCAGTACTTTGTTTTTGGTTCCTATATCTGCGAACTGCAGGATTCCTGCTTATCTGGCTCTTTGCTGGATTTTCTTTGTTTTAGGGTTCTTCAATCGGATCACAATTTCTTACTGAGCTAGGGTTTTGTTCAGCAATTCACACTTTCCCATTTTTCTGAGATAGTTGGGTGGTGCATAGTTGGTTTTCATCACTCACAATTTCACTGACAGATCGCCCTATTAATGAGAGTGTGTTGTGCCCCTACTGGCATTCAAGCAAAAAATTAGTGTGGATTCCATTCTTCTGGATGCTCATAAGTGAATAATACTAGTATTATCTTGTGCTTGTTTTGAAAGGGCATGGAAGAGGATTGTAGGTACAAGTAAAATTGTCTAGAGGGGAGTGGACTAGTTGGAGAGAAAAGGAAAAAAAAAAAGCTGAGAACACTTTCAAGTCTTTCTAGGTAAAAGATTAAAAAATCACTTTTGGACATTTTCATCTGAAGAAATCTTTTGGATTGACACAGTTTTATGGATGCTTGTGCTCTATATAGCAGTGGATTATAGTGCTTTATCTACTATTGTTGGTGAGTGCCACTGGAGTGTCGTTTTTCCGTTGAGCTTTCAACAATATTGTTGGAACTTCTTGTGCATCTGGAGTGTAACATAGTCGAACAGAGCTCTGGAAAGGAATGTGGGGTCATGGTGCATGGACAAGAATATAATTGCTGCTGTGTCCCCTCACTGGAGCATTGTTGTAAGAAAGTAATCGGAGGATACTGTTTTTTGCACGGAACTATTTTTGCTGCTTGTAAAATTGTGGGCGATGTCTCGCTGCTTTCCTTTTCCACCACCGGGATATGAAAAGAAACCCAATTCAGATGATGCATTGTTGCCAAAAGAGGTTTGTAATACAATTATCAATTTTGCAATACCTCTCACTTGCATGGCTCTGTGAACTTATAATATTATTACAATCAGAGGGCCATGTTTGGACAGTTTGGCAAATTCGTTTGAGCTACAAAGCATAATTTGAAAAGCTTTCTGTCAATATGTTTGACCTCAGGGAAGATATGGTTCCTTATTCTTTTATTGATTGATTTTTCATACCTGTGTTGGATTCACGTTGTTCCAACTTTGATTGGAAATGACCAATGTGTTTGCAACACTTTCTGCGGTGTTGCTAATATAGGCTTATTTTTGTGCACAATGAAAAGGTTACAAACTGCACACTGTAAAATTCAAATATGCAACACTAATCTTTGCTAGAGAATATCTAAAAGTTTTAGCGAAGCTGATTATAATATCATCGCACAGTTATATAGCTAGTATATGTTAATATGTATGTTAGGATTTGGATGTGATAAATCATAAATGTGGTGAGAAGCTGACAACATTATGGAACTGTGATTTCACAGTTACCTAGCATTCTGGATTCGATAGTCATTTCTCAGTAGTATAATTGTGTCGTTCGAGAATAAATGGTTTTTAATAAATTTGGAAACCAGAAGTCGCTTTCTTGGATTTTGAGGCATTTGTCTACTAGATATAAAGTATTGAAATGGTTGTAATTTTGCATTTGTTTGGTAAGATAGAGTTATCGTATTTGACTGCTGGCTAATGATCGTGTTAATTCTCATAATGGTCAGATTTATTTTGGTTGGACAATAGTTTGAGCTGAATGAAGAAGTTGCTTAGCTTCACGTTTGGACACCATGCATTATAATTGAGTGATATTGGCCTGATTATGTGCTATAGATTAGGCAGCCATTGTCGGCCTTTTGCTTTTGTGTCCAAATTTAGATTTTAGATTCATGCCATAGAATTGAAAGAATGACCTGCATTGTTAGTGCTTGTCCTAGGTAAAAACACGTAGTATTTGATATTCCTGATTTCTAACATAGAACAAATGACTTTTATTGCAGAGTCAACTTTTCCAAACCCTAGAGGAATGCCTTTGTCCTAAAATTATTTTTCTCCTATTAAGTGTTAATGTTTCCTTTCATTGTATGAGAATTTGTTGACATTTTCTTCATTTTTCAATGCATCTATCTCATCAAGTTTATTTCCATCATTTGCAATGGAGCCAAAGATTACTATTTTTTTGACTTGAGAATATGATGGAATAAAGCAAAATGGGTGAGACTGCGTACATCCGACCCCCCTTATCCCACCGTAGGTGGGAGCCTTTGCGGCACTGGGGTAATGATGATGAATGATCTATCTCATCAAGTTTATGCCATTAGGTTTCTATTTGGCATTGTTACCCACTAGACATCTCACAACATTTGAGCTGGGTATGCCAAACTAAAGTGAATTGAACAACTTTCAGTCGGCCAGGGAAACAAGAAGTGGATTGCTGATTTGGTTAAGCTATTTTGTTTCTAATCCAAATAGATTGATACCACATTTACGCTCATAATATTACACTTGTGAGGTCTGCATAGCACATACGGATTATAACATTTCAGGCTCTCAGCAATATTTTTTTTGAAAATAAAGTAGGGGTTGAAAATCCTATTGGGTGCAATTTATCCATGTGCTTTCGTGAGCCCTTGCTAAAGTTTCATTCAATTCCTGGCAATAGCCTTGCCAAGAAATTAAGAATATAAATTCAGTACCAACGGCACCCCATAAAAATAGTTAGTGCCTGTTGCCTACCAGTACCAGTGAGAACTGCACATAAGAATATGACAGTTGACACGTGTTATAAAATTTTGCTTGATGTGCATTGTTAAATAACGGAAGCTATAACTGAGAAACTTCTAGGGATAAGAGTGTTGGAGATATATGAGTATATGACAAAGAACTCATAAAGATGCCCAGACTTAATATAGGAATTTTGTCACATGCTTTAATGCTGCATATTTTCTTCTATGGTCCTTTGTTTAGTCGTTTAGATATACTAATGTGAAATGAAGTGCATAGTTTGTTTTTGCATTTGTGCTTTCATTTTGTATTTTAAAATGCTGAATATTTCTTATATATCCTTGAGAGAAGAGTAATCCTATTCAACTATGGAAAAGTGGACACAAACATCTTATTAGGTGTTTAATTGTCTAAAGACTTGGAGTTTCATTCTTAAAGGTTAGTGTGATAGGGAGTAGACTTTTATTGTTCCATACTAAGTCTTCTACACGTTTCCTCACCTCAAAGTGTGCTTAACAACATGAGGATAGATAAATGAGTCAAACAAACTCTAAACAGGCTAGTTTGATCATGAGTGCTGAATGCTGATAGGAAGAGTAATTGATCTTAAAAGATTGACTTGATAGGAAGAGTAATCACTGATCCTGTATATTAATCTTCTAAGTCGGTGTGAGATATATACTTCAACATGTTGTTTAGTCATATGCATCCCTCTTACAAAGAAGGTCACGGTGCGGCCATGAAGACATAAATGATGCCAAACCTTTCGTTTGACTTTAAGTTTGAAGAAAATATTTTGCTTCCCCATATTTCCCTTTTTTATTTACTGACTATGTGCCTCCTCCATCTCATAAAGATTTCTCAAGCTTGGCATTACTTTTCTTTTTGTGATGTTCCAAAATTTTCTCTCTATTTCCTTTTATTTGATGGTTCGTGTGGTTGATACTTTGTCTCTTTTTTTACATTAACTGTAATCACATAATTCCACTTTTTTAATATGTGTGTCAAATCAAGCTAGGAAGAAAATTTTTGATGGAGGAAGTAATATTTATCACTTTATGTTAAAAGGTTGGAAGTGATAGACATGTATTCTTTGTTGGCACTCATAAAATTACAAAAATGCTACACTCGTAATTTTCACTAAAATATACTCCGTATTAACTAACAATATTAGTCAAAATGAAAATTCATTGACTAAAAAATCAAACATTGCAGACCTTTCTGGGAGGGGGACAGAGTAGTGGTATTTTGGTTAGGGTATTTGAAACAGATAGGAGGCTATTTAAAGCGTTCATGCCAATGTCCTCTCTATCGAATAGTGGAGTTTACCTTTTCATATACTATCTCTGTTCTTTAAATAAGTGCGACATGTTGAATTTTACACTATTCACATGCTCTACTTTGACTATGTTTTATTTGTTAATGCTTAAACAAACATTTTTTTTTTAAATTCTATCTCGTTGTAAATTTTCAAAATCCTACTGTTTTAATTTTTTTTTCTATTAGAGAACTAAATATATTAATGGTCAAAGTTGTGCGTTGGCAAACATGAAAAAGAAAGTGTGGCACTTAAAAGAGAACAGATGTAGTAGCTCCAGAAATGTCCTTGATGCTGTGTATATTCATTTTGACCTCTAAGTTGTACTGTCCTAGGGCTTTGTCATTTAATTCTTCTTATACCCCTCCCTATCTCCCATTATTTGGATGCTGATATGTCAACAATCACAAAAATTGATTTACCTGCTTGTTCTTGTAAAATTTGTTCCTAATGTCCATATCCTGCATGCTTACCTAAGTACTTCCTTGTGGAGTATTCAAAGAAATGATGGCCACATCCTTTTAACTGAATAAAATAATTTCAGTATTAGATATGTTGGAAAAATGGTTTACAAATTAATATTGCAATATATTATTTGTAGAAAACCATTTTGAAATGAATGAGAAATTGCCCCCCCCCACACGGTGAGCGTGAAATTGAACTTCACGCGCTGCCGCCGTTGGCCGGTCGGGTTTCGGGTGGGTACCCACCACGTGGCTTTAAGACTTAAACATTATTTTGGTACAATTAATTAATTTCGGATAAGGCAACACTTAGAAGAAAGGTTGCCACCTTTTTCTAAATAGGTGCTTTTTGGGATTAGTCTCCTGGCCCTCTAGTGCATCGTAATTTTTTTGAGACAATTATAAGTCTGAAAAATACAATAAAGTCTTCTTCATCTTCCTCATCCAAGCTCCACCATTCTAGTGCATCGTTTGGTTCGCCGGTGTCCTTCGGGAATGAAATACCGTTCTATCCTAGTATCGTGGGAGACAATTGCTGCAGGCAAATTTGTCTTAAGGAAACAACAAGCATTTGTTGGGCTCGGTTCAATCCTCTTCAATTTCGTACGCTTCTTGTTTATCATAATTTGTTATTTAATTATTTATTTTGCAGTTTTTCGAGATACGCAAACAACAAGATATTGAAGAGCTGCATTGGCTTGCTCTCTTGTTGTTGCATACATTTAGCTATGGGGTCACAAGAATACAGAATACATTCTGGTGCTGGTGCTGCTTTGCACATGTTTGATCAGGAACCAAGTGCTAGATATATGGGATTCTTAATTTGATGGGCACTTTTTAGAAATAAAAAAACCTGCAATTCTTTTTCATGCCTTGTGTGTGTAAACGCTAGCGACCAAGTGCACATCTCATAAATTCATGGATAAGAACTACTCATGTTGCACTAACATGGAAGGAAATGTATGTTTATTTTTTGGGTAGGAATACAAACTGCAATGAATTGATTCATGCAACATGCTTTGTGGAAATTGAGTAGTAGGAGTAATAACTCTTGCGGACACGTGAACAATAATTTACTCTTAATTTATGAGTTAGAACTCTTTTAATTTTGTTTCAGCTTTCAACTTTGTGTGTCTGTGTGCCCACATTTACATGAGTGTACTATAATACACATTTACTTTAATGTATCATGAATGCACTTTAATATTTAATGCTTAATTAATTTTGAAGCATCCATCACTTCGAAGTGCACTATGCAGTTTGCTTTAACTATGTCTCTTGCATCTGTTTCAGGAGAAGGGCAAAGAGAAAAGACATAAAAAGGAGAAGAAAGATAAAGATAAGGGAGAAGGTAAAGAAAAAAGGGATAAGGATAGAAAGGAGGGGAAACACAAAGAAAAGAAAGACAAAAAAGATAAACAAAAGGACAAGAAGGAAAAGAGTAGAGACAAGAAAAGGGACAGAGAGAACAAAAGCAAAAATAAAGATAAAAAAAGTGTCCGTGAGGAATCATCGGCTGTTGGCCATCCTGGAGCTTTTTCTACTGCAGAAGAACCTGATAAGAATGTCATTAATTTGGATGAGAAGAAAAACTCTGTTCTACACGGACAGAAAGCCATTGAAGGTAGATTCGGTCTTAATGGAGAGGCAGAGGAGTTGAAATTTGTGCAGGAGTTGGCTAGAAGGATCAAAGATGAAGAAAATGGAAAAGGAATCCAGTTGGCCGGAAGATGCTCTGGTGAGGGGCAGAAGGAAGAGAGAATCGGCAAGGTGGTTGGGGTCAAGGTATCTAGAAGTTTGGATGAAGACTTGGGAAGTAACATAGAGAGGAGTGGTGTTCATGATAGAAAGCTGGGTAGAGGGGTCAGAGTTGACGAAAATGGAAAAGGAATCCTGTTGGCAGGAAGATTCTCTGTTGAGGGGAAGAAGGATGAAAGAATGGACAGGGTGCTTGGCGGCAAGGTTTCTAGAATTTTGGCTGAAGATTGTGGGACCAACATGGAAAGGAGTGGTGTTGATGACAGGAAGATGGATGTCGTGCAAGCAACCATGAATGAATCTAGACTTGGGAGTAATGCATTTGTCGCCCCTAACATCTATAGGTCCAACGATAATAAAGTCGAAGGGATGCCCATGGCTTCTGGGGTCAAGGGGAATTCGTTGAATTTTACTGAAAATAAGGTTTCATACATGGAGAAGAGTTTGGATTGCAGGGGGATAGATTCACATGCTACCCAAAGTGAATCTAGACAAAGTGGAAACACCATGCTCCCCAACATCACAGCGCTTGGCAAAAGTATGTTCGAAGGAATGCATAGACCGCATGAAGAGAGTAACAAAAGGAAAGAGGAAAAAGAGAAAACTAAAGAAAGAGGTGATGGAAAGTCGGGAGAAAAAGGAAAGGATAAAGGTAGAGATAAGAAGGAGAAGGATAGAGATAAGAAAAGGCACAAGAAGAGCAAAGACCGGGAAAAAGAGAAGAAAAAGGAGAAGTCGAAGGAGAAAAGTGAGCATTATAAACTTCAAAACATTAGGAGCAATACAACTTCAGAACTTTCAAGGGATAACGATGCTGGTGCTGCTTTTGATGTAAATCTAAAAAAAAGAAAGCTTGTTCCAAATGGTTTTGTACATGGTGAGTTCTGGTCCCTGATTACCTTGAAAGCTGCTATTTGTTGTTCACTTCCTCCATACATAAATGATGCTTGGAAAGGATGTTATTGCTCTTTTCTGTTCTACTTCCTGCCAGAATTCATTTTCAATATACAATATGTTTCATGTTAAAGTTCTTAGTCAGACAATTTCCATGTTTGCAATGAACATATTATATTCAGCTCTACTTGACCCTTTTGTTTGGCGGACTGATAGTGCTGCCCATGTGTTTGTCTTTCTTTCCTTGCAGATGATGAAGCTAGGCCTGCTAAAATACTCAAGCCTGCTTCTCATGGGCCAATACAGAATGGAAATAAAGTTGAAACTCTCCATGTTCCTGTCAATTCAAACATTCCAAGCGTTTCTGAGATTAAGGTGGCTAATAAGACGCAGAAGATGAATGGTGCAGTAGTTGGTCAGCCATCAGTGTCTATTCCTAGACCAAAGCTTTCGCCTCCTCCTACTAGTATTGGTCAAATTGCTGAACCATCTCTAACACCTCCACTTGCCGATCAATTTGTCGAAACAACTGGGAGAACTCCTCCAGTTGATCATACTGCCAAGGCAGTTGGCAGACTTCCTTTTTCTGATCAAAATGCCGAAACACTTGGCAAACTTCCTATTTCCAAAACGCTTGTCAAACCTCCATTTTCCAAAACACCTGTCAAGCCTCCTCAAGCCTATCAAACTGCTGAAACAATTGGTAGACCTCCTTGTGCTGATCACACTGCCGAAACACTTGGCAAACTTCCCTTTTCCAAAACATCTGTGAAACCACCTCAAGCTTGTCAAATTGCTGAAACACTTGGGATACCACCTTCTGCTGATCAAATTGTTGAAAAACCTCTCCATGCTGATAAGATTGCTGAAGTGTGTCGGAAACCTCCTAGTGCTGCTATATTTGCTGAAGTGTCCAAGAAACCTTCTCATATCAATGTAGTTGTTGAAGCACCAAAGAGGTCTCCTCATCCTGATGTCAAGTATCTGAACCAGATTCTCACTGTTCCTAAAATGGAAGAGTGGGTTGAATGCGATGATAACAACGAATGGTTGTTTGGAAGCAGAGATCCTTCAGAGAAGAAGTCAGGGGTGGGTTCCAATGTGATCAATGAGGAGCTGCAAGTATGGTCCGAAGCTCGGTATATAGAATCTACAGATATTTATGCTCTGCCATATGTAATTCCTTATTGAGCGCTCTTGGAATTTGGTGCAATCCTATGGGTGAGGTCATCAAATGTGACTTGTCACATATTCATAACCATCATCAGGCCTGGGCATGAGTATATGCTGGGATTTCGGTTGCATTGTTTTTGCTTGTGTTCTCGAATTTCGGGGAAGTTTGCCTCAAGTAGAACACAAAATTGATTCAGAGGGGATTTTTCCCAAGGCCCACCAAGGTTGACATCAAAGTTGTCCACAATCTTATGCAAGTTGATTCATTTAGTGTAAAGCTCAGAGGCTCCTTTCTAATTGAGTGTGAGAGGAAGTTGAGCTTTGTGGACTTTACACCTCCAGAAAATTTTGATTTGTAACATAGAACTCTTTATAGATGTAAAATAGAGAAAAATGAAAGCAGTTATTCCTATTTATTTATTTCTGCTTGTGTCCGAGGCTCTGTTTGAATGGGCATGTGGCAAGTCCGAATTTTTTACTGTCTTCTCACTTACAGTCTAAGCACAGTTTGAAGTTGGCTGTGTTGGAATGTGGTTGCAATTTGGTAGGGCTTTCACTGCAACTGTTTCGGGATTATTACTCAGGTGCGAGGCACCGAAAGTGAGGGAACACTGGTTTTCTTCCTCTCCTTTTACCGTTTTACGCCTGTGAATTAGGGATGGCAATGGGGCGGGGTTGGGGCGGGGGTTCACTCCCCCATCCCCCGCCCCGTGTCTAAAAAATCGCCCCCATCCCCGCCCCATCCCCCACTACTATTCGACCCGCCCCATCCCCCGCCCCGACCCGCTAGACCCACGGGTACCCAACGGGGGAAGTACTCGTAAAAAATTAACATCATTTTAGACTCTGACAATTTTTCAAAAATTAAACAACACTTCTAGTAACCAAAAAAACTTTTACTTTTTAAGTGTCAATGTAATCTTACATCCCATTTCAAATCTAGAACACATTATATGCGTTCTAAATTAGTCATTTTTATCAAACTCTAAATTAGCATTGATTAGCTCTATAATATTTTCTTAAATCCTGCATTCAATCGATCATGGTCATTTGACGGCATCTAGGACGACCTATGATTACCAAATTTTAAGAGTTCTAACTACAATCATAAAGATGACATTCAAAAGAAAAGAATTAATGCATTGTAATAGTAAAGGAAAAAAACTTTCACACCGTTCCTACGGCGTTTAAGCTAATATCACTTTATAACTTTCTCAAATTCATTTTACTTTATCCGTACAAAAATCATTTTACTTTATGATTTTGATAAGCAATTTTACAAGATAGCTTAGTTATTAAACAAGAATTAGATAGACCCATTAGGCACAATCCATTAGATAGGAAACCACTAAACCCACCGGGCCACCATGCTATTTTAATTACATCGTATTAGTATTACTATTATTATTAGTATTATTATTGAGATTATTATTATTAATTATTACGGGGGGACGGTGCGGGGACGGTGCGGGGGGTGCATAACCCATCACCCGCCCCATATTTATGCGGGGAGAAAATATCTCCCCCACCCCACCACCCGCCCCAACTCCCCCCCACGGGGCGGTTCCCCACGGGCCCCCGCCCCCATTGCCATCCTTACTGTGAATTGGCAGAAAATTTTTAAAATCACCTTTTTTTGCCTCACCAAAACTGGTTTTCTTCCCCTTTTATGCTTGTGAATTTCAATATCATCATCCTTATCATAATACCTGTTAACCAAATTTTTGTTCTTTAAAATTTCGATTTATAATTTATCGGTTTAACAAAAGAATCATGGAAAATTTAGATAATTCACAAATGTCTAATTAAGTTTACAAATAAATACACATTGTACATCCTATCCTACGGTCCTACCACAACTTTTAAAATATCCCTGTGACGATCATATATTTTTATTGATTTTTTATACAGTTCTAAACACCGTTTTATTTAGAGCATCTCCAATAGAGATCTGAATTGCATCATGAAAAAATGTACATGTGGGGTATATGAATAGCCTGTGAAGTTGATGTGGAAGCACGAACACTTTGCAATCAAATTTTATCTCCAATGAAGTCAACTTTCTTCTATGCAAAGCAATACGAAGAATTAATTTTCATATACATAGTACCCATTATATATACATGCTCACCCCACCTATAGCAAAATCAGTGCGACAACACTCAACAAACTGCTCAATCAACTCAAATAAATATATATGGACGATTGGCAAATAAGTGGCTGGATAGGGGTGCAAGGTTACTCTTGTTAAGATTCGGGGTTCCATCTTAAAAGGTCAACCTGATAGGAGTAGTAGCCCAAAACCTTATATAATATTTAATTTTTTTTCTATAGCTTTCCAGTGTGTGACAAATGCTTTAACACGCCCCCTCAACCCGAATCGGACTGGACAATATCGGGGTGTATAAATGGGCCAAACAAACCCTTTACAAGCTACCCTTAGTCATGGGTGCTAAACACGCTGTCAACCCACAACCGAAATTGGATATGATATCATGTTAAGACCTAGAGTTCCATCCTAAATGGTCAACCTGATAGGAGGAATAGTCCAAAGTCTTATATAGTATTCAATTGTTTTTATAGCTTTCTGGTGTGAGACAAATACTTTAACAACTCTACCATGTTGCAAAAGAAGATCTCTTGGACGATTTTTGCAAGACCAATGCCATGGATGTGATCTTCAACACACATATGTTCTCTTCATAAATGAGATCGTCGTTTTCCCGTTGCTGCTAAACAAAAACGAGCCGGAAAAGAAGATCAGTGGAGAGAAAAGGGGGTGTAGCCGCTATCACCTAGACGAGGAGTGCTGTCGTATCACAAGGAACTTCCAGATGGAGAGTTATTTATCCCGTTTGATTACTACGGTAGCCGGGTGCTACGTGACTGCGTTGCCAGAAGGGAAGGACCACTACACTTTTGTTGGTCAAATGAAGCAATCGGGATTGATATACTCTGTATTTCGTACATGTTTCCAGAAAAAATATTTTAGAATAAATGTTTTGTTGAGTTGGCTGTTAGACACCCTTTAAAAACTAGAAAGCCGGATAGAAAGTGTCCCCTCTTTTCCAATCCAACTCAGCGCCGATAGCCAAAATACATTTTTCCATTGTAGAAGATAATTTGACTCCAATATAATGTGGCAATTCATTTTTAGCAATTCATACTCCCATTAGAGATGCTCTTAGTTCTAAGCAAGTGATGGATGTGCGAATATGAGCTGATATTTTGCTATTGAACCTTCTCAGAGTCTTTTTATCTGCTCTCTGTCCTGCTTTGTGAGTATTTTTATATAGATAGAGTTATAAAATAGAAAAATAGGTTATATTATTGAAACAATTCACTTGTGTGAGTAACTATAGAAACTAGTAGTAAAAGTAACAATATTGTATTTTGTATATGTTCTTTTTCATCATCATCATCATTACCCCAGTACTGCAAATGCTCCCACTTCCGGTGGGTTAAGGGGAGGTCGAATATACGCAATCTTACCCCTTTACTAACACAGAGAGACTGTTTTCGGATGACTCATAATGAAAATTGTTGTAAAATTTGCATGACACTGAATGCTGCTTCATAACAAAGAAGTGCAGTCGGTTTAGTGAGTCATTTTGCTTTTTTCCATCATATTCATTAGCAAAAAAATAGTGAGTTTTTGGCTCCATTGCAAAGATGGAAAGTTGTATATGTTCTTTTTTACTTTAAAAAATTACTTTATCATTTTCATTTTCATTTACCCCAGTGCCGCAAAGGCTCCCACCTACGGTGGGGTAAGAGGGGTCGGATGTACGCAGTCTTACCCCTGTACTAAAGCACAGAAAGACTGTTTCCGGATGACCCATAGTGAAAATCCCGTCCAACTAACTGATGATTCATAACAAAGAAGCGCGGACAGTTTAGTGAGCCATTTTGCTTTATTCCATCATATTCTCAAGCCAAAAATAATGAATCTTTGGCTCCATTGCAAATGATAGAAGACTTAAAAAAAAACTTTGCGTCCCAAAATATACGTCTCAATTTCACATGACACGTTTATTAAGAAAGTGAGAATAAAGTAAAAATGTATAATTGTTATTGAGTAAGAAACAGTTAAATACATGTTAGTCACACAAATTATTCAATTCCCTAAAGGGAGTTGAGAAGTTTTTTCCGGGTCGGAAGTAGGATACATGGAGTATTTATTTACAATTTGTTGCAGAAGTAAAGATTATTTCAAATGTTAGGAAATTTAAATTTATTTAAAAACGAAAATATATATGTTTACTAGATCAAATATGCTGGTAAATGATATGATTTTTTTGTTCCCGATGAAAGAATATTTTTTCGTATATAATTGAAAACGTTGTTTGATCATTAAATATCATATTCCTACGAGTATAAAATTCACTATCATATCCCTACATCAAAAAATATTTTTAAATGCACAACCCTCTTAATTTATCTAGTAATTATTTTATTACTGATAATTTTACCAAAAAAAGCATAACTATAAATGATTATATGAATTCTTTCTATTGTCAAAATATTATAAGTTCATTAGTTAAGATTGTTAAAATTCTCAGGAAATGAAAAAAAATAAAAAATAAATAAATGAAATGCATAGGCGCCCAATGCCTAGCTCCTTTTAGAACATCGGGTAATAGTAAAACACATAAAACAGACCCTTCTTAGATCAGATCATATCAATTTAGAGACCGATAAAAAACATTCTTGATTTTGAAATTAACGCCACCATCACTGCTAATGGTTGGTAGTCCAATGAAAAATCTCGGGAAAACTATCAAATAAGCCCTCGTACTATACCGAAAAAAGTCGATTAGACCCTCGTACTTTACAAACACTCAATTAAGTTCTCGAATTATTATAAAACGTTCAATTAAGCCCTTTCGGTCAGTAAGTAACTGGTTTCCCGGTTAAATGTAACCCGTATCCCGGCAGCCGCCGTTGCTAGGGTTTGAGCACTTCGTCGTCGTCGTCGTCGCCGTTTAACCGGGAAACCGGTTACTTACCGACCGAAAGAGCTCAATTGAACGTTTTTTAATAGTTCGAGGACTTAATTTGATGTTTGTAAAGTACGAGGGCCTAATCGACTTTTTTGACATAGTACGGGAGCTTATTTGATAGTTTTCCCAAAAATCTCTTTCCTTTTCCCCTTGACACCGAAATCTAGTTGGTGTTGAACAAAACTCATTCAGCATGACTTTTTCACATGAGTTCTTTCACACGGTTTATGTTGTCAGTTTGTCACATTCCTGCTTTTAATTAATAAAAGTACTGTACGATTCAATTGTATTAAACTTGTTTTTTGACAAAAATGTATTAAACTTATTGCATGTGAGCACAGTTGTATGATACTCTGTATAAATAACTGATCGAATAAGTATTAACTTCATCTACCAATGCTAATATAACTATGGCGATCGAGCTGAAGGTCTAAGAAACTCATTGGTTTACGATTGAAGTCCTTTTGTTTTTAGCCTCCCTTTTTGTTACCCACTATATCCCACTATTAACTTAGTATCAT